TTTTTTTTATAATACTTCTTTTTTTAGCGATAAAATGATTTTTGAAACCTGAAATAAAATTATTTTAATAGAGTGGCATTGAATTGAACTTGGCTACGAACTGTATTGGACCATTCTTACTGACTGGGCTTATTGTTGACAAGCTGCTAGCTCAAAAAAATCCTGTCCGCGTCGTTTTTGTCAGCTCAGATAGTATTTTCAAAAAGTTGGTTTCTAGTACTAAATTTCTAACCAAAATGAATGTCAGTGGCTAGTTGGTTGGTCATAAATTAGAAATTTTTTCAGATGTAGCCTCAATTTAGAAGATTTTAATTTTGAGAACAGAAAAGCATGGTACGCATTTCCTCATTATAAGGAGACGAAATTAGCTGCAACCTTAATTGCGAAGGAGTTTTCTGATAGGATTAAAGGTATTTTTTCAGTTTTAAAAAATTCGGTTTGCCGTGACCGATGGGATATTTGAAGTTTATTGCAGGTACAAACTTGAGCGTTCTGGTAGTAGACCCAGGCAAGACGAGGACAAACCTAACCAATAAGTTGAACGCCCAAAAATTTTTCTTGAGTCGTTGGATCTTGAAACCGATAGGGTACTTGTGGTTTCTTTTTTTTATTTTGATTGAAATAATGAGCAGAAAAATCCTTCTTTTGTTTAAAGAGATGGGATTAATGAGGGAATTAGAAGAAATTATGTAATTTTGAAAAAATTTGCTTTTTTTGTGATTTGTTGGTAGTGTTAAAATACGCAATTTATACCCTTTGATTTTTTTAAAAACAGCGCTGTCTTTTAAATTTTTCATGAAGTATTTTTCTAGTTTTCTGATGGCTCAGCAGAGGGCTGATGCAGCTGCTGTTCCCGTTTTGTTCGCGTTGTTGGATAAGAAATTAGAAAAGGAGAATGGAGTTTTTATTGAGTTAGTTTTAACACGTTCCCAGAAAATTCTTGTTATTACGCTTGTCCTTATTTGTGCACGTTTTGGTCTCCAAATTACTCTCTGGGGGAAAGATATACTTCAGGTATGACGTGCCTTTGTTTATTTTCAGTCATGATAAGAATATAAAACCGTGGCCTGATGGTTTTCTGGACGATAAATTAAAGAAACGTTTATGGGTGACATGCACGAGGTGGAGCCGATTGGACGAACATTTTCGAATTTTTAACAGTGAGGTCAATGAAACCGAAAAGAAGTCGGCAGATGTGACTTCCGAAAAGAAATCACGGTTTTTTTGGTTTTTTTAGTATTGTTCGAACTTGTAAAGTCTTTAAAAGCTTTATATTCAAGTTCTGCCTCAGTGTTAGGGAAATAGGACTAGTTTCAATCACTGAAAAATCTGTAATGATATTAAGCTATGGTTTGTTAGATACCTTAGTATACCGCATGTCAGTCTTCATCAAAAGCGAACGGTTTTTTTTTCTTTCCAAACTGGTATGAGAACGATGTGAATGACTTTGCTGCTTAAGTGTGTTCCTAAGTCGGAGTTTATAGGCATTTTAAAACTGAAATTGTTATGTTAAGCGCATGCAGAAACTTTTTTATTTCTTGTAAATGTTATCTTTATTGAACGATGAAGTTAGTGGTAATGAAAATATAAAATTGTTTGTTGTTTTTAAAAATTGTTTAGAGAGAGCGGAATTTAAATGTGGTTATTTCTAAAAGAATTGTACAGAAGGTGAGAACTCTAAATCTTTAGAAATTTTTTAAAATGTATTTCTGAGGTAAAATTTTTTGGTAATGTTTTAAACATTTTTCTAACTTGGTCATAACATCAAAATGAATGGATTAAAAGACTAGGAGTTAAAGAGAGAGTTCAGGGTAAAAATCTTTACAGTCGAGGGAGTGGTGGTTAATGAGTGCTTTCTTCAAGCTATTTTAGATGTGAAAAAAGTGAAAAAGTGGAAATTTAGTGTTCTATTGCATTTTAAGACACTTGTGTAGTCAAGAGTATACTGCTTACTGCTGGACAAGTCGTGTTTCCAAAACGTTTATAAC